TTATTTTTTTATTTTTTACCTATTTAAGTATTTTTTAGAGATCTTAATTGTGCTAGACATGCAATCCTGTAGCTGTCAGCCTCATAAATACTCCTAGCTATGTTGGTTATTAACCTTGTCTTTTCAGGAAAGTAGATTAGTATCTGATTTAGGAGTTTGCCAAGCTCTAGCTATTTCACACTAACACAACAATCACAAAAATAACTAAGGGTTTACTATTATGGCAAATTTCCAATGATAAAATACAAAAGAATTAACAAAATCATTAATTGGGAGTACTACACATTTAATATAGTTACACATTTAATATAAAATTTGTGTCTTTATTTAAACTAAGTCTTTGAACATCAATAATTGTAAGTACTCTGTGGCTAGCTAGCTCAAGGATCATGCTTGTGAAGTTAGCTTTACTTGGACCCAAGGCAGACATCCAACATCAGAATGCCAGCAGATGCATTCCATTCCTTTCAAAGGATTAGTAAATGTGAATGTGAATGGGTCTGTAAGAAGTGGGGGAAAGCCCCAATGCTTTCACATAGATGCCCTAACATATATGTGATGAATATAGTAGGGGAAATCTTTTTAGCCATTTTAACATGCTTAGTCACTATTTTCACACACTGACATCTAATAAAGTCAGCAGATCTGCAACTAACAAATAATCATCAGTGTCTCTCCAGAGATCTTCCTCCCCAACCATTCTACCCATCTGTCAACACTAGATTTACAACATAACGTGCCCTGGTGTGTATGTAGCAAATATGTCTTGGACAGAGCACAGCTTCATACAAAACAATGAACTACTCCTGATTATCCCAGGAGTCCTGGCTAATCTACATTTAAGACTACATTTTCTCTAATGTGTTCATCCTGCTATTTCTTACCAATTTTAGAAGTTGTCAATTAACCTGTTTCCTCCCCACTCCATGGAGAATTTGACTTGCCTCACACTACTATCCCACATTTCCTCTGCAGCCATTTCAGACTAAGAGATAGAAGTTGTGTGTCAGGAAGAAGAAAGCAATCATGCCAGCTCTGGAGCACTCACCATTAACGTAATTTGAGAGATAAATAAACTTTTATTGTGTTTAAAAGAACATAAAACCCCCAAACTGCATTTTGTTTTGTTTTTTCTTTTTCTAATTTCACAAAAAAACATTAACTACTAAGCTCTTTAAAAGGGCTGTGCCTAATTCATCAGTATATCCTTGGGACTGAGCAGAGTACCTGATACATACCAGGAGTTCAAAAAGTGTTTTCTGAATAATACAACAATGGCTATTAGCTAGATTTTTCTGTCATTTGATCCAAATCTCTGCTTACTATCATGAAAACAAAGGAAAACATTTTTAGGTAATGCTATGTAAATGGGTTACTGATTCAATAAGGAGTCAAAAATGTCCTTCATTCTAAAACCAAGTTCATTTAATTTCTTGAAAAGAAGCAAATAAGCTGGAATTGATTTTTGTGGTTTTGTTTTTACTAATCCTTCAGGAATATGATTACTTAAACATTTTTTTTAACTGTCAAAAATACTTGAGAAACCAAAAAACTTTGAGAAACCTCACTGAATGAATTAGAGTGTCCTGGAAAATGTTATGACAACTTCACCATAAATTCTATATATATGTCCTTTCATAGAAGTCTGGTTATATGGTATTTCTTTGGGGTTTTGTGAGTGAGTTTAATTTCTCAATTTCCTATTTGTAATCTGACACTTTCTACATATTCTCTGCTTGCCAATATCTAATCCTTACTGACATCTGTTCATTATCAAGCCCATACAAAGGAGCTCCTCTCAGTGTTACAGCTATAGGTGAAAATGGTTTAGCAGATGTTCTTCAAATCAGTTTGAATGGTCCTATCAGGATCTTGACAGTGACTAGGATTTTAGTAACTGGAAGCACAATAATTCTTTCATACATTTAAGGTAAATCTCCTAACCAAGTCTTTTAAGGGAAAAAAAAAAATGCTGGGTCAGTAACAAGCAACATTTTTCCCCCTCTTGTTTATGTACTGTCTTACCTGGCAATTATTTAAGGCTTTTACAAATATCTCAAGTAAAAATATATGACTTCTACTAGTGTTTTAAATAATATAATATGCCACATATTTACCATTTGTTAGGTAGCAGTTAACTGAACAGTTAATGAAGGATATTTACCCAAAATAATGTCACAAGAGGTAATTTTTAGGTAGCGAATTATATTTTGTTTTTCATATCCTCATGAATAGTCTCAATCTTAACTCAGAGATTTCATCACTCTTTGAATGCCACCTGACGGCCATTATAGGTCGAGGTTTCGTGTTTTATGAACTGCTCTTCCAGTACACAGCCAGCCCATGGAAATATCAATACCGAACTGTAAAGCCAGTTAACAATTTTAAGGACCTCAGAGTTTGGTTGGTGCGGAGGTCCTCAACCTCGACACTACTGACATTTTGGGTAGGAGAATCCTTTGTTGGGGTGGGTGTGGGACTGCCCTGTGCATTTTATTTCTATCAAATAGATGCCAGGTAGCATCTGTGCTCACCCCGTCCTTCCTTGCCCAGTGGTGGAAACCAAAAATGTCTGCCAAGTGTCCTCTGGGGTAGGGTTGCAAAATAACCCCTGGCTGAGAACCACTCAATTGGGCTAATCCCATTCCCCCTCCCCACAGATGACAAAACTCAAAACGGAAGTTTGGGACTTCGAAAGTTTGAAAAAAAAAGTTTGGGACTTACTCAAGTCATACAACTAGTGGACAAACTAGCACTAGAACCTAGTACTAGTCAAGATTCCTATTCCAGTATTCTCATTATACCACCTTGAAGTCGTATAGAAAGGTTACTGCTAGCACTGTGTGAAGTGACATTGTACAAAGTCTTAAGAAATTGCACATATTTAAAGTCATCACACACACGAAAAACAAAAAATGCCATCTTGGCAAAAAACTTGTTTTTCTATGAGAAACTGTTTCCAAATCTTCCTGTGATCTGGCTGAGAGCCAAACTGAATTGTATAAACTATAAACCGTATAAAAATTATAAACTGTATTACAAATTACATAATCTATAAACTGCTCAGGCTTACTTGTTGGTGAGAGGCAGTAAGTCTGGTATGAAAACAATCCAGAGTTTATTTTTGACCTCAGAACAATGATAACTAACCTAGGCTGACTCAAGACGTTAAATCTAGTCTTCCGAAGGTTGCCTTCATTCAGAGATTTACTAGAACATCATTTGGTTGCAATGACTTCCTCATTCCATTTTTAGTGCATGGAATTTATATAAAGTGCTTATAAAAATGTTTTAAGAAACGTATACTTTTTTTTTTTTTACTTTGCCATTCCACCAAAGTGAAATACGTAAAAGATTATGGAATAGCACAGAAAAATAGAATATATCACGAAAAAGGGTAAAAACAAAATTATTTTCATGAGGTTATTATATTGATGCCTCTCCAGAAAAAAGGAATCTAAATTATTCTACAATATTTTGGCTTCCACTGTCTTTTCCCTCTGGGGACAAAAAGCAACATAAGTCAACACGATAAGTACTAAAAATGATGAGACTGAAGATGGTGAAATGTTTTACTGAGACCTGAAACACGATCAAGCTCCACCATCTAAAATCCTTTCCTAAACTGCCTTACAGTCTTACCTCATAGTTTGGGACAAATAGGGTGTTCACAGGCATATAGTACTTGTAGGAACTTAAACATCTGTTAGATCGAGATGATGAAGAAATAGCTTTTTGTGTTAGGGGAAATGTGTTGGTGAGAACTGTGAAAACTTGGGCAGAAACACTCCTTCCAAACTCCTGCAGGGAGACTTGACCAAATTTTAACTTGGCCTCTAGCAGCTTAAGGCTGAATCCCAGCGATGACCCAGCCCCCTTTGGAGCTCCTGCAAGAAAAACCTCAGGGCTGTCAAAAAGAAATCTGTTTTTAGAGCCAACACCTGATAACAGGTCCCCATCTCTCTTTTTAAGAGTACTTACTGAATTTGGATTGTGAATCCTTCCTGTCTCTGAGAAGGATGTGTCCCTCCTACAACTCAGGAGTGTCCTTCTCAAAGACCTGAAAGCCATTCCATTGAAGTGTAATCATCGGGAAGGAGACGCCTAGGTCTCCCAGTGGCTGTGGGAGCATAGAATCCTAAGGTCCCTCCCTACTTGCCAGCAGCCAGACACAGCTGGCCTAACAACATCCCCTTTGTAATTCCTCACTTCCTTGACTCTTCTGGAACCCCCACCTCTCCTCCAGTCCCTCATTTTCCCTTTGAACCTCCCAGTCACCTCTGCGCAAATGCAAATGGAGCTCAGCTCTTTCCCCTACAGTCGGGAGTGTCTGGATAAATTCCGTTTTTCACCGCTCTCACTACTGTCCACTTTGCTACCTTTGACACTGATCTGTAGATCCCTATTGAACTCAGACCACTATCAAAATAGGCCTATAAATCTCAGAAGTTTGCTTTATAGGGTGTTATCCTCAAAAAGCCCCGGAAAACTCTCCAAAGGGACCTCTCAACGCCCTCATCCCTCCGCTCTTCCCCCAGGGCCCCGACAGTTTTAAGCTCCGGAGCTACTTCCTGCGGTGGGCAGAGTCCTAACTCCACTTCGGCCCAAGTGTCTACTTTCCCGGATGTTCAAGTTCACCCCGCCGAGGTTTCCTCGCTTCCACGTCTCAGGCCGTTTCTCTCCTTATCCTCGGAGCTGCCTCATCCATCCTCCTTCCCTTTCTCTGCCACTCCAGTCAAGACTTCTCCCTGGACATCTCTCTGCCCCCTCAATCCTCAGCTTCCTGAGCTTGCTGGGGTGTCCCTCTCCCCTCCACGCTCCACCGGGGGGCCGTGGCGCCCCTTTCCCCGGGCGGCGGGTGGTGAGGAGGTCGGACGGACTCCGGCCCCGACCCGGTCGGCCATGGCGCACGCTAGGGGCGCGCCCAGCCTTCACTGGGCCGCGGAGGGAGCTGAGGGGCTGAAGACCGGGCCGCCCCCGCCGCCGGGGCGGGAACTCACCTTCTCTGAGGCAGGGGCGGGCGTCTACAACTACTGTCCCCCTCCCCGCCAACGCCGCCGGCCGGGGGATAGGCCGGGGTGGAGGTGGCGGAGAGGCAGGGACAGGCGCTGCCGCCACCGCCGCCTCCGCCGCCGAGCAGGCGGGGTGAGAGGAGGAGGCGGAGACCAGGCTTCCTGAGGGGAAGTCTCCGCCACCACCGGCAGCTTACTGGACGGCGCCAACGCCATGGCGGCAAGGCGCGCTACTGCGCTTGCGCAGGTGCCTCCCTTCCAGGGAGGCCCCTTAGCCCCGCCCCCTTTAGCCCGGCCCCTTTCGCTGGGGTTTTTTTTTGGGGGGGGGGGCGGTCTCGGCTCTAACTGTGGCTGTGTCCCCTCCGTCTCGTGTACTTTCCCCGGGGACTTTCCCCTCGTTGTCGGAGGGAAGGGAGAGCGCGTGGGGCTGCTCGCCTGGGGTGAGTGAATCTAAAACCGACTGAGAAAGAAAAAGTCTGGGAACCTCCGGATTCTTCCTCCAAAGTATCTGAGAAATACGTCATCTCCTTTATCTGTTTGTCTTTCCTTTGTTAGGGCCTTTATTGCACAGAGTTAGAGTAAGCAGAAGCCTTGGTCCTGATACGTTGTCGTCACTGGTCCGTAAATGACATTTGTCGCCCTCCGTCAATATATGCCTATATGCGCGCACTCACACGCACAGCCAAACTCACCTCATCTCATTCCCCATCTCCCAGAGAAATCACTACCCTCCTTTGTAGTTTCTTTTCATATCTATATCTTTATTCCATACGTATGCGGCCAAAAACAGTTTGGATGATTCTTGAATTTCATAAGATTTGTATCTTTCTCTATGCAGTATTCTGGAACTTGTTTTCACTCAACATTTTGAGGTTCATCCAAGCTGTTGCCTTTAGGTGTTTGTTTCACCGCTGCACAGTATTCCACCCATTTTCCTGTTGAGGGGCATGCCTCCTGGTGCAGGGTGCCAAAGTTTCTCTTGAATGGATTCTCCCTCCCTGTCACACTGCCATTGCCTAATTTCAGGTGCCCATCGTCTCCTGTTAGAACCATGGCAAGAGATGCCTAACTTATCCTTCCGACTTCACCAGCCCAGTGTCCTCTCCATACTACTGCCAAAGCCTTCGATGTAGAAGTCATTTTGGCTCTCCGTTGTCTGTTGGAGAAAGTCAAACAGGAGTACTACTGGGCTTCTGTGCACCCTGATCTCTGTCTTTCTACTGCTCACCTCCCCACCCTGCTTTCACTTTATGATTTAGCAACGTTAAACCTTTACTGATTCCTATAAATACCAAATTACGGCGTAACTCAGTTTATTGTATATGCTGCTCCCTCTTCTGGAATGCCTTCTCCCTACTTCCTAATGAACTCCTCCTCCCTTCAGAAGTAAATTCTGTCCTGAATGCAGCATTTCTCATTCCTATTCATTTCTTAATACTTTTGCTACATATGTATGTGTCCCCAAAGAACATGAAATATTGCTTTGCATGATTTAAAACTTTACATAAATGTTATTATACATACTGTTTATTCCCTTGCAACTTTTTTCACTTATTATATTTTGATATTGAGGTATGCTGAGATGTGAGGTTCTAATTCATTTACCTTCACAGCTTTAGAGCATTCTGTTGCATGAAAACACCATGAACTAGCCATTTGACAGACATTGAGCCTGTTGTTCATTTTTGCTTTTATAGACAGTGCTGTTCTAATGTAGTTGTGCAGTCTCCCTGTGCATACATATGAGAGTTTCTCTGGGGTTTATACTTATGAGATGCTGCTGCTTTTTAAATAGAGGCTTTGATAATACCCACTTCGAAGGGTATTATGAAAAACATACGAGGTAATGTTAATAAAACACAATTTCAGACATTCATACATTTATGTTAGAAAACTTGCAAACGTATATGAAACAGTGGGTCACAAGGGCAATAGTCTGGTGCTAGAATGGTGAACAGAAGTATAATATGTGTGCTCCCGTAGCTCCAAGGTACCCAACCTATTGTAGGTGTCTGTACGTCTGCCATTTCTTTACCTCCACACCTCTGCTTGTGCTGATGTGTCCTTGGGGCTGAAATGGTCTCCTCCAGTTCTGGTTGTCTCACTCCCTTCTTATCTTTGTTGGCTACTTCTCTGAAGCCTTTCCTGACTCCTCAGGCTGCCATGGATATCCTTTCCCCTCCCTTCCTGTATCTCTCTCACCATCTTTACATGCTCTTCCATAATCTTTCTAAATGGTCAGTATCTTAAAGACAGGGTCTGCGTGTTACTCGTCTTTTATCCAGGCACTGAGCACAGTGCTGATAAATGTGCTGATAACTACACAGCACATTTGGACTTAGGAATTCTTGGGAAGAAAGTCCACAAGTGGACTTAGGAATTCTTGGGAAGAAAGCAATTTGCAGCCAAAGATTTCTTGGAGCCAAAAGAAGAGAGATGGAAGCAAGCATGCTCTTTTGTTAGGAACACAGAGACCGGAGAATTTGAAGGGGTTTTTTGGAGGCTTTTTTTTTTTTTTTTAATTTTAGAGAGAGAGGGAGGGGGATAGTGGGGGAGAGGGGCAAAGGGAGAGGGGTAGAGGGAGAGAGAGAGAATCTTAAGCAGGCTGCACACTCAGCATGGAGCCCAATGTGAGGCTCGATCCCATGACCCTGGAATCATGACCTGAGTCAAAATCAAGAGTCAGATGCTCCACCAACCAAGCCACCTAAGTGCCGCGGGGGTTTGAAGTTTTGCCAATGATGTAGTTATATAGGATATAATGGACTGTTAAGGAGGAGACCTGCCCCTGTCATTCTGGAATGTGAGAGCTAGATGTAGGCAAGAACTTTTTCTTTGAATCTGTCACTCCTAGGGATTATAAAATGAATGAATGAATCAGCCAGTGAATTCACTTGAAGGCAGTGAGCAGCCCCTTGCTTATTTAACATTGCCAGGCTTTAAACTGTTATTAGTTTAAAGCAGGCGTTGGCAAACATTGTCTGTAAAAGGCCAGATCGTAAGTATTTTCAGCTTTGTGGGCCATATGGTCTTTGTTGCAAGTATTCAACTCTGCTGTTACAGTGTGAAAGCAACCATAGAAAATATGTAAACAGAATAGTATAGCTTTTTTTTTTTTTTAAAGTAGGCTCTGTGCTCAATGTGGAGCTCAAACTCACTACCCTGAGATCAAGAGTCCCATGGTCCACCAATTGAGCCAGCCAGGCGCCCCTAGAATAGCTGTTCTTTAATAAATTTTATTTATGGTCACTGAAACTTAACTTTCATATAATTTTCATGTATCACAACGTATTCTTTTGACTTTCCCCCCCAACTATTAAGGAAGGTACAAACCATGCTTAGTTCACGGTTTCAAAAAAAACTTGTTGACCCCAGGTAGAAATGAACCTTACTTCCATGTACAAAGGGGGTGAAACCCAGTGATAAAGGACTGTTCTTTTACTAAACAAATCTTGCAGTTCTCTTGATTTACCACTAGATGGTGGTCCCTTGTAGGTGTGTGGCCCAGCCAGTGAGTCTTTCCAATAGAAGGGATGATTGAAGTTTTTCCAAGTATAGTAGATCAGCCACTGCTTTGTTAACGCAGGCATACAAACTGTCCCAGGCTTTCAAAAACCATTCTTCTGGGTTTCATTTATGTCTCCACCTTCACACTTATTTGTACAAATTCCTTCCATTGCAGCATATCAAACTGAAGGGAACGCAATCGCTCTCAAGTCCTCTGAGATTATTTGCTCGAAGGCTCAGGAGGACAATAATTGAATACAGGTTATGGCTGAAGATTTGGGAGCTGCAACTTGGATCTGGGAACAGATATTACCTGAGATACAGATTAATAAGTGGAGCTTATATTGAGACGATACTTGAAGCCCAAGTGTTGATACTTAAAACTCCAAAAGCAGCCCCCATTCTTGGCCTCTTCATGTCACCTTTTTCTACCCTTAAGGTGCCCAACTGGGGACCCAACATAGCCCTGGCTTAGCATCTTCTGCAACAATTTTCTCACACCTTTCTTAGGGTATGGGAGTATTTGGTAGCCATAGTGACGTTCTTGGCATATATGTGTGGCCTGAGGTGCAAGGGAAGTTCAGCCGAAATAGAGGTGCATAGAACCATTGTGGTTATTCCTGTCATCCTCTTGTCTGAAATCTCCCAGCTTAGATCTCTCTTCCAGACTAGGAGTCCCCTGGCTTGAGCTGTCCCATTTGTCTCCCTTTCTCACCACCCTTCTTTATCCAGACACACGAAAGAAAGAGACTGGATGGCTATTAAAATTGTTAACAATGGGAAAAGTTTCCATCTTCCTGGAGCAGAAAAGGGCTTGACAGAAATATGACTTTGAAGATCCTTGAAGCTCAAGTCTGTGACCCTAGCCACCACACCACACTGTCACATGGTTATGTCCACTCTGCCCCCTAGTTGGATCTTTCAGCAAACATGGAATAAATCTGTTTCTTCCACACCTCGATATACGATGTTGAAGAGAGCTCTTAGGTTCTTCCTGAGTCTTTTCAGCTGAGCATCTCCAGTAGAGCAGTAAGATATCCTTCCAAAACTCTAGATGGATTTTTCCTGGTCATGAAGACAAGCAGTTCTCATGAAGGCCGTTCCACTCCCTAGGGGCCATTTTAGAAATGTCACGGGGCAACTCTTGGTTGTGCAGTGGTGCTGGCATGTTGTGCGCAGGACCAGGGTCACAAAGAAGGTTTTGGGTCCCAGTGGAAAACAAAACGGGAGGGGGGCAGATGGGAAAAAACTATTATAGAGGATTTATGTTGATAAGCAGTATAGCAGGGACATGTACCAGGACATGTCCTTGTCACCAGCCTAATAACGGGAGCCAACATCCCCTGTCTCATTGATCCTGGCCACAGATGCAGGATAGCTTGGGAAGAAAGGAACAGTCATACATTGAAGATTCTTTGCCTGTCCTACACAGCCTCAAACATACAGATGTACATTTTAGGTATATGAAACTTTGTTTATAATTATCAGAGTCTGGAATTCTGTTTTATATATAATCACAGAATCATTTTTAATATATCCTAAATTTCCCAAGGCAACCTCTTGTTAACTGAAGGATTATGCTTTCTTTCATTCAGAACTTGACTAAGTAAGAGTCATTCACCATTTCAGAAAATCACATCACAGACAACCGTGCCCTGTGTGATATTTGTGTCCCCAGAATCAGTCTACGTTTTCGGCTCTCGCTCTCACAGCGATTCTACTGGAAGGTACAAACATATGACCGCTGTATCATGTTTTCTAGTGTAGTTGTGCCCAAGCATATGCATAGTGAGTTCATTGACATATTTAATTTAGCATGATTATATATTATTTTATTATAGGCTAACTTTCACTTTATCTCTCCCTTATTAGGTTAGGTAAATGTTTTAGTCCGTACGGGCTACAATAACAAAATACCACAGACTGGGTAGCTTATAAACAATAGAAATTTATGCCTTACAGTTTTGGAAGCTGGAAGTTAGAGATCAGGGCATCAGCATGGTTGGGTGAGGATTCTCTTCTAGATCGTTCACAGTCTTCATATAACAGAAAGACCTAGGGACCTCTCTGGAGCCTCTTCTTCACGAAGGCTCCACATTCATAATTTTTAAGCACCTCCTAAAGGCCATACCTGCTAATACCATTCATTACCTTAGAGGGTGAGGACTTCCATATTTTGAAATTTGGGCTGGGGGCTGAGGAGAGTGAGATACACAAACATTCAGACTACAACATATAGTAATTTATATTTTTTAGGTATAAGAGCTGGTAAATTATGTATGCCATTTCATTTCAGAGTAGCAAAAGGGATGTTATAAAATATTTACTAGAATGAAAAACTATAATATTTTATATATTTGTTTCCTGGTTTTGCCATAACAAATTACTTAGTGATTTAACATAAATTTACTATCTTACCATTTGGTGGTCAAAAGCCAGAAACTGGGTTCACTGGGCTTAAATCAAGATGTCACCATGGCTGTTTTCCCTCTGGGGGTCCAAGGGGGTGAAGCTGCTCCCTTGCCTTTGCCAGTTTCTAGAGACCACCTGCATTTCTTGTCTCATGACCCATCCCTCCATCTTCAAAGCCAGCGATATAGTATCTTCAAATGTCTCTCTGACTCTGACCCTCTGCCATCGTCCTATAAGGATTCTTGTGATTCCATTGGGCCCTACTGGACAATCCAGGATAATCTCCCTCTCTCAAGATCCTTAACTTAATCACACTTGCAAAGTTTCTTTTGTCGTGTAAGGTAACATATTTCCAGGTCTGGGGAGCAGGGCCTGGACATCTTTGTGGGGGGTGGGCCTTTATTCTATTGACCACACTTTATTTTTTTTTTAATTTTTCAAGGTTTTTTTTAAAATGCTTATTTATTTATTTTGAGAGAGAGAGAGA